TGCATGTTTTGGCCAATGTGACATCATCAAAGCAGAAAAGGCGAAACAGAGAGGACCACGTCCTCAGCTGAATGTGAAAGAAAACATGTTTCTAATAAAATACAGACTTCATGTTGTGGTCTGAGTTGTTTACAAAAAGTTACTTTAACAAGACCCTTTCCGTTGGGACAAAGTTAGGTGCAGCTTTGATGAATACAGCTGAATACAATTGCTAAATTTGCTTGAATATTAGCATTTGATTTGATTTGATTTAATTCTGTATTTTCAGTTTATAACAGAAATCCTTTTTTCCGTGTGTATTTATTATTAGCTCTTTATTGATGATGTCATTACTGACTTAGCCAGATTGATGATTCATATCCATGCTTAACATATTAGTAAAATGGTTCAATAGCCTTAAAGAAAGTTTACTGGTTTGAAGTGTATACAATGAGCTTCTGCACTACAATTCTTGATGAAACTTTTTGTTGTCCTTTATATACTTTTTTTAGGATAAAAAGATATATCCAAATCCATATCCTTGTGTATAAAACCCTTCACAGTCTGGCACCTTCATATATTTCTGATTTTCTCATGACTCAACACATTCACTAAACTAAAGACTCACTCTTGAATTTCTTTTCTCTTGACCTTTGCTTGTCTCTCTATTTGTTGGATTTTGTTAAGCACATCAATGACTGCCAAAAGTATATATTGAGAGAGGACAAGGGCAGATGTTGCGGTGGCATTCTTGATCCTGTTCTCATATGGAGCAGTTGAAAGCAGCATCCTTTCTTCTGAGGAGCATCTGTTGATGCGGCTGTGTTGCTGGGAGCAGTGATATCATGTGTTATTACAAAGAGCCTGTGTAAACTATCAACACTGGCCTCTTTTAGCCCGGGGCACAGCCACTGTTGTCATTGAACTTTCTGCCTTAAACGTCATCGTCTGTTTTTATAATAGTGATAGTATGTTACATGTGAGGGCATTGACGTACGCGTTCACTGACTGAAGCAGTTTCAATTCCATGAAGGTTTTGGAACACAATAGTCTTCAGGTTCAGTGGATACTTCCAGTTTGTGTAGAAAAGACCTCAGGGGAAAAAATAAGTGTTATATTCAGAAGAATGGCCTCTGTCCATATGCAAACTGTATGTTGTTTGTAATTTTCCTCAAACTGACTCAAGATAACATAAGAGATCCTTTATTCGTCCCACAGTGGGGAAATTTCAATGTTGCAGCGCACCACACAATACAGGACAGTAGTAAGAGCACACAAAATACACAATATGAGGAGCTCCTATGTTTCTATAGCTGTAAATGCTTCAATATATAATATTCTGTACAGTATATGGGTTCTCTATGTTGTGTAACAGTAGTGAGGACTAAGTGAAACCATTATTCTTGTTTTTAAAAACAAGAATAATGGTTGTCTAAAAAGACAAGCACCCATTTTGTTGTTGTAAGGGCATGTTACAAAACTTAATTCTGATTGTGTTATATCCTAACTTCTCTTGCTCCATCCTCCTTATAATGCCCTTTAAGACACGCACACATACAATATTTCCCGCATCATGAATGAGTCAGTCTTACCCTTCATCCTGAGAAGTACCACCCACGAGTTCCTGCAGTAAGTGACGCACTTGAAGCCCCTTCATTGTGCAACATTGTTTTGTGTTATGCACATATGATAATGCAGCTGCTGAGGCATTCTTCAGCCTCTGAGTCACAGCCTTTATCTGAAGTGTTATATAAGAATCCTCAGAGGTGCACCCTTCTTCACAAATGAATGCTATTGTTCAGAAATGTATAAGCCCTGAACATAAACAAGACTGTTATGTCACTAATGATCATGATCAGAATATGTGGATACACTCTGGAGGCACAGATGTGGTTCTACGGGGTTATCAGATCTCTTCAATAAGAATAAGAAACATCTACAGACGACAAACCATGAATTGTTAATAGAATTCCTTGAACAGCGTTTGGAAACAGTAGGTCGAACTGTATCTACCAAGTCCTAAATTGAAACAATCCTGCCCTCTAGTGGTGACAAGGCTGTATTGAAATAAAATACTGAACGTGGCACTACGTGTGTTCACTGCAAATCAAGCTATTACTTATGCATTCACGACTTATCGTTCAATAAATGAAAGAATAAAATATGTATACATTCTGTTGCAGAATATAGTTGTTAGATTTTATTTGAAATTTGGTCCTTTCTGCAGTGAATGATGCGAATGGCACTGGACATTTTTTCTGGGATTCTTCAATAGAGTGCAGCACAAGCACCATTAAGTATTTTGCATTAGTGGTGATGGGTGATGTTATTCCATGCGTTTTAACAATATGTTTGTGTTTACATTTCCAAATATTCCGATACGACTCTATAAAATGTCTAAATAAAAATAAATGCGTTTGTGCAGAGTTTGAAACGTAATTATATGCACCTATACATTAAACAATTCAAACACATGTTAACACGTTGGGTGCCAGAGAATTTTAGAATTGCTTGAATCCAGGACATTTTCTATACAGTGTGGATTGGCTTGCACGCAAACGTTCTACCAGTGTAACCAAGCGCTTTGTAACAGTGCAGTTCATGTTTTAAGTGGTAGGGGAAACCGGAGAGCCCGTAGGAAAGCAATGCAGACACGGGGAGAACATGCAAGCTTCATACAGAAAAGTCAGGGGGTGGAATCAAATCCAAGCACAAGCCTAACCACTGCGCCACCGTGCGCCCTGACCTTGAATTAAAACAAATCACAGGTAATTATAAATACTGATCACCAGACCTTGTTTTACTATACCAGGCTGATACTAGAACAAAGAAAATATGTTTGTAATCATTGGTGTTTGAACACAGTCTTACTGAGGTGCTGGGTGCAGTCTGTGGCGGCTGTTGGCAGGAGACTTCATCCTGGCATAAAGGTATTTAGAGACTCTAATCTGTTTTGGCCCGGATTAGACACTGAACTCTCAGTAGAAACGCGACGCCAGCTCCACAGGGAAAGTCCTCACCACACGTTCATCTCTCGTCTTTTCCTTTTGCTCTTAACACGCTCCATTTACGTCAAACATTTACGTTATCCACAATCACACAGTAAACAACATGTACATGCACATTGTGAATTTACAAACATAACAAAACGATACATCCACAAACATCATGTCCATAGGGAGCAGGAGGAAGTAACTTATAATACTAATGTTGTGTATGCCCAAACTAAGGCCCGGGGGCTAATTGCGGCCCTCTGTGGTATGTCACGTGGCCCACCTCTGCCTTGCTAACCCAAATTAGCCTTTAAGATCATACACACAAGTTCACTGTGTCATCTAACAGCTCCACCATCATAGACATGCAGCTACCTCGTTGTGAAGCCCAGACCCTTTGGAACTTAGCCTTTTATTTTATTTGTATATGCTGACATTTGTTTTTGACTTCCAAAATCTCTTATATCGCACTAATGCAGCTGTGAGATAGTAAACACTAATACACACTCATAAATCTGTCAAGTGTGAATCTATTTGGACTCATCATTCCTCATTTTAAAGCTCAGAATAAACTGATCCAGTCAAAGCTGTTATACCATTTGTGTTGTCGGCCCCTGGACAAGTCATCTTAACTGCAATGGCCGTCTTACTAAAAGGTTTGGGGACCTCTGACTTATTTATCTGGTGCGGTTTATTTATCTGGTGCGCTTAATAGTCCAGCAAGTACTGAACTTTGAATTTCCGGTTGAACCCTTTCATCAACAGCAACCGTCAGTGTTATGGATAGTTGCGTTCGCCTTGTCGTTCGCTTTAAAATGATGTATCATATGTATTATAGGTTACTATGGAAACCTATATTGTTTTTGCTCGAAGATTTAAAAAAAAAATTCCTTGGTTTGGTTTATTTATTTATTTATTTTTTCTTCTGAGCTTTGAACCTTAATTTGACCCCCTGAACATTGATGAAAAGTTGTGAAATTTTGCCTAAAATTAAGAACCGGCGAAAAATAAATTTTGTTGGTGTTTATTTTTATGGGACTAAAAAAATGCCAGAACAGCGCCCCCTACAAAAGTCAGTTTACATTGCGCCTATGGGAGCGGGTCGGTAACCTTGCCTGCAAGCTGAATTCTCGCGGTATTTGTGAGTTCACAAACACTCGAGAATACATCTTGCCCCGCTCCCGCCAACCCTTTGAGTAGAACATCTAGGTGTTCAAGCCAATCACGCGCCAGTCTGGGGGTTTAGGGCGGGATATCCGGGTTTGACGAAAGCAAGGAGTGCCGGGCCGAAGCAAAACAAACATGGCTAGCAGAATCTCCAATTTCTTTTTTGAAAGGTGAACAGCGAGAGGTGCTTTGTGCATTTCTGGACGGCAAAGATGTTTGTGCATTTCTGGACGGCAACCTTGGTAGGCGGGCACACAGCGTCACTTCGCCCAATCAGCTTGAAGTATTCTGCTGCTTATCCCTCCTTTCCCCGAAAGGATTCTCCTGCAGAAGTCCCAGATTGATATTGTGGAGAACGCATTAGAGTTCTACACAATCATCAATCTGGCTCTTGCCAGGTTTGCGGGTCGGAGGTCAACACCATCAGTGTTATGGGAATAACAATAAATACGTACCGTACCAGTTCATATGGCAAACATTATGTCAGAACAACAAAAATGTGGTAATTAGGACAAAACTATGGAAACCCTAATCTGTCGTTTACAACAAAGTCACCCATCCATTAGCTTTGATGAATCCAGAAGTTGCATTTTACTATCTACTATCTATTTAAGAGATGTAAGAAACATTGTTTCAATATCAAAGGAAAATATAAACAGAACAATTATTTTCGTCAGATTAACTAGTACCGCAGTTGACTCATAAGTCTCCTCCTCCTCTCCTCCTGCTGTCTTTCCACATTTACAGGCCGGAATGCCAGAAACACCTGATTATCGCTCATTTTAACCTGGCAACATTTTCAGTGCTTTTTTCATTGCAGTTTACTCCATTCCCAGTGTTCTGGATGAAGCACTGTAAGTCTCAGGTGTTTTTGTCGTTGTCTTCGTTGTTGTGGGTTGTAGGTGATGGTTTGTTGACCAAGCCCGTCTCCCAGCGCTGCCAAAGTGCCGCTCTCGGTCCCAGGGCTCGCTGAACTTTTGCCTCCTGCTACAACATTTAAGGATACAGATTAGCTCTTAGCTTACTCCCAGATTAGACTGGTTTGCAAGTACTTGAAGAATGTCATATAGTTTTGGTGAGATATAAACATGTTACCTGCTCAGTCTGTGTGGTGTCTTTCTTGGCGGGTGGAGGCCACACACACTCTAGTCGACCTGTGGTTTTATGCATGGAATCTGAATGGATGAAAATGAGATGAGAGGATTCACTCACATTATGCTAAATGTTGCAAAGTCACCTCAGAAGCCTGACTGAGTGAGGAAACAGTTAAATACACTTAGTATTTGGTTCTTAAAGCTGGATTGTTTTAGTAGTTCACTTGGCGGCCTGGGGTCAGCCTGCTGTCAGATATCTGCCAGAGTGATGTGTCCTCTGAGAGGAACAGGCTAAAGATGTCAGGAGACACTAATGTGAAGAGACACTCATTAGGTGGCTAGACCCAGAGCTGAATGGTCTGAGGTGTGGACAGAATACTGACTTTTTAGATGAGAAAGTTTTTTTCTGCAAGGTAATAGAGAATATCAGAACTTTTCTTGTTCTTTTGATTCATGTTTATCACCGGCCCATGTACTGATAAAGGCTCTAAAATACTAGAAAAAGGGAGCCTTTTCTTTGCTTGTTGCGTCATCTATTATGTAAATGATCTTAAGGATGAGAGCTTTACCTGTTTTATGGTCAGCTGTATACCCTCGCTCGTCTTTGCTGCCAAGTTTCATCTCTCCGTACAGGCTAGATCTCTGTTTGCGCAGATCATCTTCTCGTTTTTTGGCCTCCCTGATGTCCTTCTCCACCTCTGGCTGCAGAGACAGGGCGGGACGGAGCTTGAAGAAGGGATTTTCCTTTATGAGTAGAGACATTTCTCTTAGTGGTTCTTTCTTAGAGTTGTTCACACCTGCTGCTGTGGGCATGTTTACATCAACGGCATCCATACTTTTATGCAGGCGTTTTTCATGTTTGGGGTAAGGACATAAACGTGTTTTGTCTCTTATCGACGGACTTAGTGGCCTGAATGTTTCAGGATGTGTCTCCTTTTCGAAGCCTGACACTTGACGGAATGAATGTGTTCTTAACATAGGAGATATTTTCTGCGAAAACCTCTCCAGGCTGCGTGTGCGCTCCAACACAGATGGATAGACTTGACCGTGTGGCAGTGAGGCCTGTGGTTTCCTGATCCTTGTAGGACCCTCCGTTTTCTCTTGTTGGAATGCTTCAAACAGAAGCTTTGCGTCCTTCATCTGACGACTCTCTCCTTTGCTGTTTCCTCCAGGGATTTTTCCTAAGTTCACCACCACTAACTCTTTCTGTAATTCTTGACTGATGTCTTTCTGCTTTTCCTGCTCTGAGAGGGGCCCCTCTTTTCCCAAATCAGAAGTCTCTCTTGTGAAGAGGGGCTCCAGGGAGATATTCATCTTAAAGGGAATCTCCAGTACATCTGGATTTTGAGTCAGATCAAAGAGACCTTCCACTCTCTCGAGATCTTGTGCAATCTGACAAGATTCTTGAAACTGCTTTTCCATGTTGGTCTCTGCAGCTGAAAGTCTGTGGCACAGGGGAATGGGAGTTCTGTTTTCATCTTTGATTTTCAAAATATCAGTTTCAGTGAAGTAATCTGCATCACTGTCATCTGTCTGTTGAGGAGACATGGTCGGCAAAGAGGCTTCTGATTCTCGTTCATCTCCATCATTATTGCTTGAAGTCTTTTCTTCTACACAAATCTGTTCATCAAATGTTTCATGTATCTCATGACGTTCATCTTCTACAACACATTCTGTTGTCAGGTGGACTATTCCAATATTTAGATTTGATGTTGACAGACTTTCTGACACATCTTCATCTGCCCTGATTACAGTCATATTTTCAAAATGTTCTTTATTACAACTATCAACGTCTCTTTTTTGAATGCAATCCTCAAACGTTACAGTCATGGTCAACAAAGTCGATCCATTTTGATCTTTGTCTGATCCCTCTTCTTGTTGATCATTTTCTGGTGCTGCATTCTCTCTTGTCATCATATTCTCCTCCTCTTTTGGAGTCTCATCCAAATCTTGTCGCTGCTGAACTAACTGCAAACGCTGAAGCAAGTTTTCACCCTGCAGGATTTCAGTTGCTATCCTACTCTCAGAAATGGCCCTAGATGCTTCGTTCAGTACTTCACAAGAGAAAGCCTTTTCCTCATCTTCCACACCTGTTCTCTTCACCCAGTCATATCCTGTAAGTTCAATGTCTAACGGATCATCAGGTTTGCAACCCGCTCCTTCCTCTTTTGTGTTGATTGAACATTGTACAGAAACCTCCGTAGGGTTTTCATTGTCCTCAGTCTCAAGGTTTGGTCTCTCAGTATTTCTGATGGGAGGACCGTCCAAACTGACGGTTTCCTCTAACGACATTGTTTCAGCTTTCAGCATTGTATCTTTAGTTAGACTACTATCATTACATTTGTTTGTTTCTCCATCAGATGAATCGTCACTCACTTGAATCTTAAATCTGTCTTCCAGTAGTTCTTGGTCCTGTCCATCGCATTGTGTCCCGCTTGAGGAGTCTCTCTTTTCCTTTAAAGTTGCTACAGCACTATCCATCTCCTCATTAACCTGGCAACTTGTCATTGACGGATTCTGTTCCTGTGACCAGTCTAAGTGCTTGGGATTAGTGTTAACGTCTGTGCCGTCAGATGACCTCAGACTGACACTGCGGTCACTGGCTGCGACTGGACTTTTTCTGCCCTCTTCTGGTTCCATGAGGGATGGTAGTGAAGGAGGTGGCATAAAGGCCTGATCAGGACAGCTGCTTTCTGCTACCCTGATGTATTGTGGCGGGACAGAGTCGGACTGAGGGGCAGCGTCTGTATCTGTGTGGGATGATTCTTCAGAAGTTATTGACTGGTGTCTTATCATCACACGTCCTTCTGACCGGTCCTGAGAGTCTGTGGTTTGAGCGGTGGCGGTAGGAGAGCCTTCCATGGAAGTGACTACAATGATACACAGAGTTTGAGAGTAAACCTGTATTTCAAGCTGAAAGCAAGACAAAAATGAAACCTGTTAGAATGAGTCTAGAGTTGGAATAATATCAAACATACATGACAAAGTACATACAAAGTTGAGAGTAAAAAAAGGCTGTATTGATTTATCACCAGTATAATTTATTTTATGTAGTCATGAGTTTCAAGTTAGAAGGTCTGATTCCCAACCCTAGGTAATAGTATTTACTGTACATACATTAAATAGAATTGATGACAAATTTTGAAATGGTTTTAAGTAGCTCAGCTCTCTTGACACCAATTATATTTTCCAATCATTAGTATGCTTTTATGATTTTATGCCAAATCATTTCAACAAGCTGTCAGTATAGTTATGTTTGTTCACTTAGAGTGAAACAAAAGGTATCATTCTTATTCCATTGTGTGGAGCTTTGTGATTTTGGCATGACTTTCTCAGTCTGACCTCGCGCAGTGGGTTGTGCTGACAAAGAGAAACACTAATCGGCTTTCCTGTGTTTTGGCCTCTGCACAGCGCCATGTTGTATTCAGCACTGGACAGCTCCAATGGGACTTCACCCTCCAACACCCGTCACATTATCAATTACTGCAGTTACACAAAAACACAAAATCTGCTGATCGGCCCAGTTATCACGGCTGATTATACAGATATCATTTTCTTAAAGAAAGACAGTCGAACTTGAGAAAAGGTAAAGCTGGGACACATAGCTTCCTATTCAAAATGTATATTTTGCGAGTGACTATTTGGCGCTTTTGGCTGAGAGTTGAATGGTAGTAGAGTAAGGAAGGCCATGTCTTTATCACCTTGCTATCTGAAAAGCTGAACTAAAGATGTGACCAGAGGCTACAAATACATTAATCTAAAAACTATGATTAAATCAAACTGTTTAGGGAGCGAGAAACTAGTTGATGCGGCTTTTGCTAAAGTTAGGTAACCCAGCTTTAAATGTTATTGTTGAGGTATAATCTTCTTTATTCATTTTCTATTATTAAATTCCTGTTACCACATCCACAGCTAAGGATTAGCAGCTCCATACGCTCCCTCAGCGTATGATCACACCTGATGGGATTAAGCCTTTGTTCCATTCGCTTGGGTTAGCGATTGTAAACAGTGCTTTATTTACATTGAACATCCAACATAAAGACATTAAGTCTATTCACAAGACACAAAGTATCTGGCCCAATGGTTATTAATGTCATTTCTACTTAGCTTCAATTCCGCTGTAAATCAACTGGATAAATGTATGTATTTGTCGTCACTTTACAATTCAACAGAAAATAATGATAGTTCATACATTTACAACCTTTTTGATGTATAAAATTGATATAAAGACATAAATAGAAATAACGGAGATATAAGGCCTACCTGTCCCAGATTGTGCTGCATGTGTTGTGTGGCTGTCATCCCCAGAGTGCGATGGGAACAAATCTGAAATCTCCTCATGGATTTATCGGCTGTCCCCATGTGCAGGTGAGTCACGCTATAACCTCATCTCCGCTGTATGCACCCATTCATCTCTGCAGGGGTCGGGCTTTTGTTATTTTATTCCACCAAACTGAAAAAATCTTCAAAGCCTTCATCCTCGGCTGAACTTTTCACCGCTCAAGCAAAATGACCTCTCCACATAAAAAAAAAAAACTCATGAAAACTCAATGTTAATTATCTAATTTCCAAAGTACGTGTGTATGTATTATATCAGATTATTATTAACCTCTTAACACCCGCCTCATTTTGGCTTGTGCACAAAAGTTGGGCATTCCCAAATGTCTTTGCTTATTTAAGTATTATCTTGTGCGAGGAAATTACACAATATTATATTTATTTTTGATTTGTAAAACTGTAAAATTGTATTGTTTGTTCTTTTTCATATAAAAATAAATAAATAATACCAATGATAGTCATCAAATATGTATGTTTGAAGAAATACCCTCAAAATCTGAGTATGATGACATTTCAGAATCCAATATTGTATCCCTAACAATATACAACAAGGCAAGAGAGCCCCATGGTAATACAGTTTGGGGGAAGGATTGGGGTTAGTTTACTTCTTTCCAGTCAGTTTTGAACATAATTTTACATATATGTAATTGATATTATTGTATTTTTCTTTCAACACATGAAAGACACATGTGTTCAAATGTTTTTCAATACATTTTTAACTGATCACTCCTACTTATATTCTGTGTCCATCTAAAAACACAAGTTCACCAACTCATTAGTGCAATACAATACATTTAATTTATCCATCCATCCATTTTCTTCCGCTTTATCCGTTGCCGGGTCGCGGGGGCAGCAGTCTAAGCAGAGACGCCCAGACTTCCCTATCCACACACACCTCCTCCAGCTCGTCCGGGGGGACCCCAAGGCGTTCCCACGCCAGCTGAGAGACATAGTCTCTCCAGCGTGTCCTGGGTCTTCCCCGGGGCCTCCTCCCGGTGGGACGTGCCCGGAACACCTCCCCAGGAAGGCGTCCAGGAGGCATCCTGAACAGATGCCCGAGCCACCTCAACTGGTTCCTCTCGACGTGGAGAAGCAGCGGCTCTACTCCGAGCTCCTCCCATGTGACTGAGCTCCCCACCCTATCTCTAAGGGAGCGCCCAGCCACTCTGCAGAGGAAGCTCATTTCGACCGCTTGTATCCGCGATCTCGTTCTTTCGGTCATTACCCACAGCTCATGACCATAGGTGAGGGAGGGAACGAAGATTGACCGGTAAATCGAGAGCTTCACCTTTCGGCTCAGCTCCCTCTTTACCACAACGGTCCGATACAGAGACCGCATCACTGCGCACGCTGCACCGATCCGCCTGTCAATCTCACGCTCCATCCTTCCCTCACTCGTGAACAAGACCCCGAGATACTTGAACTCCTCCACTTGAGGAAGGACCTCTCCACCCACCTGGAGAGGGCAAGGCACCTTTTTCCGGTCGAGCACCATGGCCTCGGATTTGGAGGTGCTGATTCTCATCCCAGCCGCTTCACACTCGGCTGCAAACCGTCCCAGTGCATGCTGCAGGTCCTGGTTCGTTGGAGCCAGCAGGACGACATCATCCGCAAAAAGTAGAGATGAAATCCTGTGGTTCCCGAACCGGACCCCCTCCGGCCCCTGGCTGCGCCTAGAAATTCTGTCCATAAATACAGTGAACAGAACCGGTGACAAAGGGCAGCCTTGGCGGAGGCCAACATGCACCGGGAACAGGTCTGACTTACTGCCGGCAATGCGAACACAGCTCTGACTCCGGTCATACAGGGACCGGACGGCCCTCAGCAGAGGACCCCGGACCCCGTACTCCCGGAGTACCCCCCAAAGGACACCCCGGGGAACACGGTCGAACGCCTTCTCCAAATCCACAAAGCACATGTGGACAGGTTGGACGAACTCCCATGAACCCTCGAGTATCCGATGGAGAGTATAGAGCTGGTCCAGTGTTCCGCGACCGGGACGAAAACCACACTGCTCCTCCTGGATCCGAGATTCGACCATCGGACGTAGCCTCCTCTCCAGTACCTTGGAGTAGACCTTACCGGGGAGGCTGAGGAGTGTGATCCCACGATAATTGGAACACACCCTCCGGTCCCCCTTCTTGTAGAGAGGGACCACCACCCTGGTCTGCCACTCCATTAGCACCACCCCCGATCGCCACGCGATGCTGCAGAGACGTGTCAGCCAAGACAGTCCTACAACATCCAGAGACTTTAGATAGTCAGGACGGATCTCATCCACTCCCGGCGCCTTGCCACCATGGAGGCTGCCAACCACCTTGGTGACCTCGGCCAGGGAGATGGAAGTGTCCGCCCCAACATCCTCAGCGTCTGCCTCCTGAACGGAGGACGTGACGGGGGGACATTTCATTTATATTGTTATTTATACATTAGACATCATTTGCGGTTGAGTTTCTCATATCACTCCACAAGGGGGAGTAAGTGTATTTAGTGTTCCCTCTCCTTTAAAACAAAACAGTTGTTTGAGTAAATAAACATTTATAACAATTCATTACAGGAAGTACATCTCAATGATGTAGATTCAGTAAGTGTAGTATGATGTAGCATCATAACTAATGTGTAATACAATAGGCACAGTTTCATTCTCGTTCAATTCTTGTTGAATTAACCAAGTCAAGACTTTAAAACAGTGTAATGTGAAATAGGTAACAATAGTAGCCTGTTTAGCCTATGGTATTTATTCACAAAAACATGTGGCAAAATGGCATATTATGGTATTACATTCATATTTCAATATCAACACAACTTTAGCGGACACTCGTGGGTACATTTTACAGTCATGTTATTGCAAAGAACTCGAAAAGGCACATTTTGAGCAGTGGTTATAACATCGGAGTGTGTTCATTAGTCTATAGTCCTTTTTGTTCACATAACGGTGCAGCATTGACAGGCTTTGCATTTGCTCTTCTCCTGGGGCTCTGCTACATGTTCTGGTTTTTGCTGTCCGTTCTCCCCACCCTCTCTTGGCTTTGCCTCATTCGCCCCTCCCAGTGGAACATCCTGGAACAGCGGAGCGTCCTGGGACTCCTTGGCTGCCTTCTGAGCTGTCATGTCACCTTTATCTTTCTGAGGGGGAGCGGCCGAGTCTTGTCCAAGCACAAGCTCCTCTCCTTCGTCAGTGATGATGACTCTCTCCGCTGTGAGCATGCCCTGGGGTTCTGCTCCTGGTTCCTCAGCGTCGGCCCGTCCATCGGTGTATCCCATGAACATAAGGGTGACAGGACCTTCACAAAGCATCTCATTATCTGTCAATTCCACTTTCGAGGGACTGTCAACCACCAGTGTCTTTTGCATAACCTCACTAGCAGCTATTGTCTTTGGAACCTTTTCAGTTCTACCTTTAATGTCTGGACCTTTGGAGTGGTTTACGGTTGAAAAAGACAAATCATTTTCTTGAGATTTTTGGGAATCTTCTGCTTTTACAGTTTCTGGCGTAGGCGTCACGGTGACCTCGCCCAGAAGCGCCGTCATGCCGACCCCATCGATCACGCTCAAAATCTGTCCAAGTTCTTCGCTGGATGGCTGAGCTGCAGAGCCCCCAACAGCGTGGATACTCTTCCGACCGTCGTCAAAGATGCTATTGGCCACCTGAGGGCCGGCGGCTCCTGACACAGGCGTGACAGACCTCACGATGGAAGCACCTGTCTTTGGGTCTTTCTCCACTTGAACTGCAAGCATCCCCAGGACTAGAAAGAGAAGAGGAAAAGAGTTGGAAACAATTGTTAAAGTAGCAATATGTAAGATTTTCATGTCAAGTCATCATGTCAAAAATATGTCAAAAGGCATTGATAAACCATGCTCTTTTCGAATACTTTTTTAACTGATAACAGTAGTTCTGCTGAGATACTCTAATTTCAAAATTAGTTTTACAGCCCCTAAATCTTGTTATTGTTTTCATTTTGATGTCTCACCCCCCGCCGTTTTACCAGAAAGTCTGTGATCCGGGGTGCTAGAACTCAAAAAGGTCTTTTTATGATTGTCAAATCCATTAATAACAAAACAAGGAAGAAAACAAGGATTTCTATCGGGGCCTTTGTAAAAAAAAAAAGGTGTTGGTTATAGATTTGCTGTTGACAGAACTATTTGTCTGCATATCTGGCAACCTGAGTCAGCAAGAGTAGGAGAGGTTGCAGTACCGCTTTTGGCCAGATTTTTACATACTGCTCTTTTAAATAAAAGACACACACAAAAATAATTACAGCTAAAAGTTTTTATGACAAATTTTAGCTCCCAAATATGTATTGTAGTTTACACCAAGGTGACATTTCGAACGTCCCGGCCCTCCATCAGCCATCCTGACACCTGTCTGATGAAGGCCCAGGACGACCGAAACGTCACCTTGGTGTAAACCGCAAAATATATTTGGGAGCTAAAAGTTGTATGGACCTCATCTCTACATTCCACTCTGTCTTGATCTGGCACGCTGTACAAATTGAAATGTGCATGTTTTCTTTCTTAAATTTAAATTCACTCAGAAACACAAAACTAAAATGTGTACACTGTATGGGTCTGTGCACAAAACACAGACACCTGAACTCCACACGCACATACTTGTGAGAGGGAAGGATATGAAACTCTGACGACCTCACACCGTACTTGTATGTGTGGCCCTGGACATTTCATCCCAATGTAGTCACAGATCATAATGGTTTTGACGCATCTCAATCCACTGTTAATGTTTTAAGAATTTTTGTGAAATCTAGTTTTTCCCACCTCTGCACCTTCTCCACCGACTCCAACTGATGACTGCTGTCGTTGTTCCTTGGGCAAGACACTTAACCCCACTTTGCCCCAAAGCCCCACTGAAAGATCAAGGCTCTGCTCTCACTCAGAGAGCAGCCGTCCTCCTGTGGATCACCACCTGCAGAGGGTCAGTGAGGGGCTGGTGCTATGAGACTTGGGTGGCATCTTGACTGCCACCCCCCCTGACCCAGAATGGATTAAGGGTAGAAATGGATTAAAGGGTAGAAAATGGATGGATGGATGGATAGTTTTTTTATTTTTTTATTTTATAAATTTTATTTATCTTTATTGGTTTCCAATGCAGTCAAAAAAAGCTATGCAATGTTATGAATGGATTTACTATTTACATATGTGCGTGCTGATAGTAACACAGAATATGGAGCCATTTTTTCTGTAAAGTTTTTTACATGGACTACATGGATAATTCCTCTGTTTGTTTTATGTATTGATACTTGGGAATCAACTTGTTATAAATGCGGGTCTGCCTTCTCCCTTTGAACATTGATGTCATTTTTAAAGCTTCTTTTATACTGTTGAAATAAATGAAAAATGAAATGACTTGAGTATCTTCACCAAGTTAGTGGCAAAACATTTGTGCCTGAAGCGGTGTTAAACATGCATCCAGAATGTAAATAGCTCCGTTGTTACTTTTAGAGCGGAGACGTTCTTGGCATGTAGCAAAAAGGGACAGGCTTTAAAATATGCATTCGTTTTAACACACTGGATGTTTGTGTCTCGTTAGAATCAACTTTGCGTTCCTCAAACACAGATCTCAGTTCTCAGAGATGACGTCCCGATCAAGAAGATTTGTGTTTGGCAGATGAGGGTTAGCACAGCAGAAAACAGGCCACCGACAGAAGACAGCGCCTTTGTGACTGCCATAGCCTTGAGTATATACAGTATGAATAAGCTCAAAAACTTCAAGAAGAAAGCAAACGAAGAGGAACATATTCTATTAAATTCGTTTTTTATAGCTTTTATCTACGCCCACTGAAATGCAGGTCACACCGTTGTTCCAAGTTCTTCGATAGGATCTTAATTATCTTAAAAATTTGTGCTTTTAATAACTGTATATTTGCGATGGTGACCAAGGAAACGTACGTGCAAGTTATGCTAAGTTATGTCTGTAACGCCAATGTCATGGTGTGACAGCGTGAAGTCATATGTGCTGTGAGATCACATGTCAGGCGCTAAAAACAGATCTGACATTCTCCATAGACTCTTGGGTTTGCGCGCCTTTGGATTTGGTTTGTTTAAGAACAGGAATGTGGCTGTTGTTGTTTGTTATACAGTACGGTTGTAGCAGAGTATTACGTACTGATTAACTAATGTATGCTGCCAGACCACTATTTATCAGGCCTCGTTATTAGAGTTTACAGTGTTTACAGAAGAAGAAGTCAGGCGATTTGCACTAAAATGGTATCTCAATGTCGTCATGTCTTCAGTGCCCATGGAAATATTTTCTCAACTTTCTGCCTACATATGAGTATTCTGCACGTGTAGCATTTGAAACAATAATCTCTCCAAAAAATGGAACAGTAACAACAGTATCAAATGTTATGGCACTCACCCGATCGTCCATCTTTTCCCCCTTCATGGTATATCCTTTGTGCCATGACCAGAAGTTAAAACCTGTGGGAATAATAGCACAATTGTAATCATACATCGTTTGTAAGTATAGACAGAATAGGCACACACTTGCCATAGCGCACACTGGTCTGGTTCACTTGACTCCGAAAATTCTGAAAGTACTAGAACTCCCTCAAATAAATGGAATTTAGAAAAAAATCCCAGAAAGTGTTATTGTTTTCCACTATTTAGTTAATTTATAAGCTCAGAACCGAGCAGGTCGACAGTGGCTCAGTTGGTAGAGCATTGGCCTTTGAGCCTGAAGGTTGTGGGTTCGAGTCCACCGTAAGACCTACTATACGACTCCCACTGATGACTGCTGTCAGTATGTCCTTGTGCAAGACACTTAACCCCACTTTGCCTGAAGCCCTCGCTGAAAGATCTCCTGTGGACTCACCACCTGCAGGAGGATCAGTGAGGGGCTGGTGCTCTGCGAATTGGGTGCAGCTCTGACTGACAGAAATGGATTGAGGGGAAGAAAATGGATGGATGGATGGATAAGCTCAGAACCTCACACTTAAAAAAAACACAATCATGAAAATAAAAAAGTCATTAAGATAAATATTGTAGATGAGCTGAGAAATTACACTTCCAAAACTAAAAGCCTTCTAATTGACTGCACTGGGAGTTCTAGTGTTAACTGGAAAACTTTTTTGTGAAACCACCAAATAATTGTACAGTGGTCCAGGAGTCACTTAGTGCATGTTCACACTTCTGGTTCACTTTAACTGGACTTATTCTGGTTCACTTGTGGGAAAATGTTTCATGTGCAGATGTAAAACAACCAAAAAAGTGAACGTGTGTCCACTCGTCACATCTATAGAAACAGATCTGTGAAACATCTTTCCCCAAGTGAACCAGATTTTGTCCAGTTAAAGTGAACCAGACCGGCATGGTGCAGTTTGAACCAAACTTGGTCCGGTTATAGTGAACCAGACCAATGTGTGTGAACACAGCTTCAAAGACTGAGGGGGCTTCTCTCATCGACTCGACTTCAAACAGCACAAATAACAACAGATATATCCAGGTACTATTCTGAGTTGTCCTAATACGTGCATTATCTGCTTCATGTTGTCGTAGAATACGCCTCACATAGTTCAGTCCAGATCACTGCTGCAGCTCCATTCTGTCAGTACAGTTTAAATAATAATTCTTCAGCCGCAGACTTAGTTATGGTGCATTATCATCTGCAGGGACACCACCATGAGAGCGGCTCAGTGCACAGGCTGATCTCCTGCAGGCGCACCACTACGGGCCCTTCCGTTCTACAGGATTAGATCTGATGAGAGAGGGCCACTTACAGATATCTAATTTCCAAAACAAAATTTAGATGTAAAAAAGTAAAAAGCTGACCCTCTATTGTTGTGTACTGCATCTTTAGATCAAGATATCCAAAAGGACATAAATCTTTGATATATTTGTTAATGAAAATGATCCATCTATAGAAATATTCAGTAACCATAATTCAACAAATTGAAATGGGTTTTGTGTGTCTCATGGTGCAATACTAATTTGACAATTTTTACTTTCCAATCACTGACGGATCTGTGTATATATATATATATATATATATATTTTAATATATATTTCCGTTCTCGAAACCTTTGGTCTGGCCCAGCACGTGCAAGCCCCAACGCACAATAGAGGCCACACACTCGACCTTCTAATAACGAAGGGAGTAAACATCTCAAATGTTAAAGTGGTCAACGTTGCTTTGTCTGATCATTACTGTGTCTTTTTTAACCTGTCAGTCATCCCTAAACCACCCGTTCAACCTACAGTTCTGAGGCAAAGACCCATGGATGGAACAGACGCTCTTTTTATGGAAAGAATCATGTTCAAAATTTCCCCATGCTGTAGATGTAGATGACTTATTAAACACTGTAACTCATGGCATTTCTAATGTAATGAATGCCATCGCCCCCAGAAAAACCAAGAAAACTAAAAGTATACAAAAAGCACCCTGGAGGTACGGTGACCTGGTCAAAGAAAAGAAGAGAGAGTGCCGCAGGGCATAGCGGAAATGGGGCAAGCTTAAACTCCATGTCCATTACGAAACGTTTAAATTAAAGCAGCATGAGTACAACAGTATTTTAAGTACTGCAAGAGAGCGGTATTTCACCCAGACCATTGAAAACTAGAAATAACTCCCATGCCCTTTTTGCAACCGTGAACAGATTAACACACCCCCCATCACAGTTGCCTCTTGAGTTCATTTCCACATTTAAGTGCAATGAGTTTGCTGTATTTTTCAATGAAAAGGTTCAATCCATTAAAAGAGCGATAAATCACAAATTTCTATACAAACAACTGCAGGTTCTGAGTTGTCCTTTTTTTCACCTGTCACTGAAAAATTGGTCAAAGAAATTGTTTTAAAATTGAAATCGTGCCCACTAGATTTTTAAAACTTGTTCTTAATAGTTTGTTGCCTTCACTCACTGCAACAGTGAACGCATCACTTCAGTCAGGAACCTTCCCTGGTCCTCTGAAAACTGCAGTGATCAGGCCTCTCCTAAAGAAGAGCAGTCTTGATCCTGCAGTGCTCAGCAATTACACACCCATTTCAAATTTGCCTTTTTTAGGGAAGGTTTTTGACCCGTTTCAATCAGGTTTCAGGTCCCACCATAGCACAGAGACTGCCCTGATAAAAGTGTCCAACGACACTGATAGAAGCGAGGCAACCAGTCTGTGCCATTCACCCCTCCGACTCCCACCAACCATTTATGCACACACCATACTGATTTTAGGCAATGTGGGTGAAATGTCTTGACACAACAACAGTTTGGCAATTTACCACGGCAGCCTCCCCACTGTAGTCCCTATTGTGTTCACAGAGGTCTCCTATCCCAGTACAAACCAGCCCCTGCCCTGCTTAGCTTCAGAGGACTGCCAGGCTTTAACATTTGTTCTGTAGTCATGTTGTTTGTGCCGTGAAACAATAAAACAATAAAACATGTCTTCTGAGGCGGTCCGGAAAAAACTGCGTGATTTGCCACTTTCCTCACAACCGAAGCAAATGTTAAATGTATATTTTTAAATTGCCCTTTATATTCTAATGCCCATCATTTATTCAACATCTTCTGCAGCTGGTGCGCTCTACATATTTCCAGAACAGTAAAACGCTGAGCATTATGGTAAAAGTGTTGTTGTCAAGTTTATTTATTCAACGTAGCTCTGGGAAAGTTCAAGAGGTCACGGCGAATGCTGTTTGAAAAACAAAGGAGACAAATCTACAAGCTAATTCTTTATGTATGAGAGGGCTTCAGAAGAGGCCGAGGACACAGAGGAAACAAGAATAATATGGTGAAAGGTTTTTTACATCATCTTTTTGTGTGGATTGGGTGTAAAATAAAAATAAAATGTTGTGGCCTGAAAAAGTACTCACCACCACAAAGAGTTTTAAAGTTTTAAACAATAAATAACTACATAACTACAACATGTCCCTTGCAAAAGTATGCAGCCCTCCCTTTCTCTGAGTGCAACTAAAGTCTTCTGCTTTACCCATTTCCGGGTCACAAGGGCAGCCGTCTAACTTCCCTCGCCCAGACTTCCCTCTTCACGCACACTTCCTCCTGCTCCTTTAGAGGTTTCCTGGTGACGTCTAAAAGTGATATTTATTGAATACTTTTAGGAACAATATCTAGGGCAGAGGTCTCCCACACCTTTAAGAAGAAGAAGAAGGTCCTTTATTTGTCCCACAAAATTCAGTTTGATGCATACACATGATATACACATCAAGTCAAGCAGCGAACATCACTTCCGCGCTCCTTATAGGCAAAGTGGGTTAAGTGTCTTGCCCAAGGACACAACGGCAGCAGACATCAGTGGAGTTGGTGGAGAAGGTCTCGAGGTAGGCTCGAACCCACGACCTTTGGGCTCAAAGGCCAATGTTCTACCAACTGAGCCACTGTCGCCCTTAACTTACACTTTCATGTCTTGTTTTATTTATTTATTGGCAGTTTTATTGATCACTTTTAAATCTCATTTATGTCTGGCACCAAGATATATTATTGAACTTTTAATCCTTTACGAGCCCCTTCCAGGGGCGAGGCTCTGGACGAAGGGTGGTCAGCCTTCTCGGTCCGGGCTCCTTGGCTCTGGAGCAACCTGCCCGAGGAGACCATCAGTGCCTTCTTTTAAATCACTTCTTAAAACCCACTTTTCATTTAACGGTTGTCTTTGTGTTGTCTTTCTTGTTATGTGCCGTCACTCTGCTTTATTTTCCTGTATTTATTTTTTAAACGTTTTATTTTTGTGATTTTTTTTCTGTTTTATGGCTTTGTGCTGACTGTGCAGCACTTTGTAAACACTGTTTTGTGTTATACAAATAGAGGTTTGTTATTAACGGATCCCTCTCTCAATGTGGACCTCCCTGAGGTTTCTCACCTTTTCCAACTGGGTTTAGAGTTGTTCCTTACCGATGCAGGAGGGTCTGTTGGACCCTTGTCTGGGTCTAACTAAAAGACAGTGGTGATGATCCAGGACACTCAACATTCAACAACTTTTATCATCATTTATGAACATTGGTCATCTGCTCCTTATGGACCAATGGCCAGGTGTGTTTTTATCATTGCATTTCTTGTGTTTGAACTGTTTGATTCTCTGATCAGTGTTGGCGAATTCATCAGTTTTGTTTAGTCCTCAGAGATAACTACTGTTGTGATTTAGGGCTATACAAGAATACATTGAATTGAATTATTTTCATTATAGTTCATCCAGACAAACAGGACTTTGTTCATGGACACTCTTCCACCGTCTTCTTCCACTTTCACACATTCCGTTCTGGGCTTGATGGATTTCTTGGTCATGCGTTCCTCGGTGCCTACAGTGATTTCTTTAATTCCCTGGTCACGTGTGGAGCATTGATGTTCACGCAGCCAGTGTTTCAGTAAAAACTCTGTCTCCACATTGGATCCTTTCATCTTCTCCCTTTGAGCCAGAACGTGTGGACCTTTAAAAGCACTTAGTCGAACGCTTCTCCGCACAA